GAGCAGGGCCGATTGGGGAGTTGGGGCGCCACCCCCTGTCACGCACAGAGCAGGGCCCATCAGGGAGTTGGGGAGCTTCCCCATGTCACGCACAGAGCAGGGCCGATCAGGGGGTTGGGGAGCTCCCCCCTGTCACGCACAAGGTAGGGCCGATAGAGGAGTTGTGGCTCCGCCCCCTGTCACACACAGAGCCAAAGGGCGATCAGGGCTTTTGGGCGCTGCCCCCTGTTACGCTGCTCCAGGGGCCAGAAGGCCTCGCTGCTCCACTGATCCCGGTGCTGAGAGGCCTCGCGGCTCTGCTTGACACAGGGGCAGTGAGGCCTCACTGCTCCGCTGATCCCGGTGCTGGGAGGCCTCACTGCTCCGCTGATCCCGGTGCTGGGAGGCCTCACTGCTCCGCTGATCCCGGTGCTGGGAGGCCTCACTGCTCCGCTGATCCCGGTGCTGGGAGGCCTCACTGCTCCGCTGATCCCGGTGCTGGGAGGCCTCACTGCTCCGCTGATCCCGGTGCTGGGAGGCCTCACTGCTCCGCTGATCCCGGTGCTGGGAGGCCTCACTGCTCCGCTGATCCCGGTGCTGGGAGGCCTCACTGCTCCGCTGATCCCGGTGCTGGGAGGCCTCACTGCTCCGCTGATCCCGGTGCTGGGAGGCCTCACTGCTCCGCTGATCCCGGTGCTGGGAGGCCTCACTGCTCCGCTGATCCCGGTGCTGGGAGGCCTCACTGCTCCGCTGATCCCGGTGCTGGGAGGCCTCACTGCTCCGCTGATCCCGGTGCTGGGAGGCCTCACTGCTCCGCTGATCCCGGTGCTGGGAGGCCTCACTGCTCCGCTGATCCCGGTGCTGGGAGGCCTCACTGCTCCGCTGATCCCGGTGCTGGGAGGCCTCACTGCTCCGCTGATCCCGGTGCTGGGAGGCCTCACTGCTCCGCTGATCCCGGTGCTGGGAGGCCTCACTGCTCCGCTGATCCCGGTGCTGGGAGGCCTCACTGCTCCGCTGATCCCGGTGCTGGGAGGCCTCACTGATTAGCCAATGGGAAGGGTAGCGAAATTAAGGTTAATTACCATGTTTCTCTATTATTAGATAGGATAGATTATTAAAATTTATTCAGATACTTTGTTTCCTGCTTAAAAAACTCCTTTATTACTTGGGCATGGGAGTTTGAGGGGAGGGTGTGTGTGTACTTGAACCCTAGTAGCAGGAGGAACTAAATGCAGGGTCAAGAAATATAACATGAAAAATGCCAGACAGAAGATTTTATTCAGCAAAAAACCAACCAGCCACATTTTTGTGTTGTTGTTGCTAATCCTCACCTGAGGATGTATTTTTTTCCCCATTGATTTTTAGAGAGAGTAGAAAGGAGGAGGGGAGAGAGACAGAGTAACATCAATATGAGAGAGACACATGGATTGGTTGCCTCCCGCACCAGCAACCTAGGTACATGCCCTCAGCCAAAATCAAACCCAGGACTCTTCGGTTCTAGGGCCGACACTCTATCCACTGAGCCATAATGGCCCGGGCAACCAGCCACATGGAAAACATCAAAAACCAACAATTCAAAATACTAGTAAAACCAATGTTACCCCAATAAATATAGGAATTGAACCTGGAACCATTCAATCCATAGGCCGATGCTCTATCCACTGAGCCAAACCAGCCAGGGCCCAATAAATATACTTTTTTTAAAAAAAAAAGATAGGACCCTAGCTGGTTTGGCTCAGTGGATAGAGCGTCAGCCTGCAGATTAAAGGGTCCCTGGTTCAATTCTAGTCAAGGGGACATGTCTGGGTTGTGGGCTCGATCCCCAGTGCAGGGTGTGCAGGAGGCAGCCCATCCATGATTCTCATCATTGATGTTTTTATCTCTCCCTCTCCCTATCCCTTCCTCTCTGAGATCAATAAAAATACATATTAAAAAAAGAAAAAAGTAGGAATGAGTTTGCCAAAAGTGACTAGAGCAGCTCTCTCCTTGTATTACCAGGGAGTGCATCTATTTAGGTTGGTACCGTTCTCCTTGGAGTTTATAGTGAAAACTAGAGGCCCAGTGCACAAATTTGTGCACGGGTGGGATCTGGCTGTCCCCCCACATGGGGCGGGCCGGCTGTGGGGAGGGGCCCCGGGAGGGCTCCAGGGCGGGCCAGCCGTCTCACTCAGTCCTGATCAGCCGGACCCCAGCAGCAAGCTAACCTACTGGTCCCAGCGCCTGCCCCCTGGTGGTCAGTGCATGTCATAGCGAGCGGTTGAGCTGCCTTAGCCTATCATTAGCATATTACACTTTGATCGGTTGAACAGACGACTAGACACTTAGTGTATTAGGCTTTTCTTATAGAGGATAAATCAGCTGATATAAATGACAGTACTTCTGGCCCGGAGCTAATGCTTATCGATTGGTTAATACTGTGTGGACAACTCATTTCCTGGACATCTTGCTACTTAGTGAAGCTGGGATCCGCGGCAGGAAATGAGACATGGAAAAACTATGTTCGGACCAGCTGGCCCTGAGCTATGTGTGTGGGAGGGAGATGAGCAGACCCAGGCTTCCGGGGCCCTTCGGTCAGCCCGGCGATTGCGAAATCCAGCAAGTGCAACCCAGGCCGGGAACGCCTGTAACAGACACACATGTTGGAATTAACACAATTAAAACGGGGTCTCCCGGTCCAAGGGTTCAGGGGTCGATGTTGGTTCTGACTCCAGCTCTACTGATTCGGAACTCTCTGACCTTAAGCCAGTCACTTACACTTGGAAAACTTCAGTCTTTTTAAAAATTTTAAAAATATTTTTGTTGATTTCAGAGTGGAAGGGAGAGGGAGAGATAGAAGCATCAGTGATGAGAGAGGATCACTGATCGGCTGCCTCCTGCACGTCCCACACTGGGGATCAAGCCCGCAACCCGGGCCTGTGCCCTGACCGGGAATTGAACCCTGCCCTCCTGGTTCATAAGTTGATGCCAAACCACTTAGCCACACCGGCCAGGCAACTTCAGTTTTCTTTCTTTCTTTCTTTTTTTAATCCTCACTCGAGGATATTTTTCCATTGATTTTAGAGAGAGTGGAAGATAGAGGGAGAGACAGAAATATTGATGTGAGAGAGACACATCGATTGGTTGCCTCCTGCGCTTGCCCTGACCAGGGCCCGGGCTGAGGAGGAGCCTGCAACCGAGGTCCGTGCAACCTTGACCGGAATCGAACCCGGGACCCTTTGATCTGCAGGCCGACGCTCTATCCACTGAGCCACACCGGCTGGGGCCACTTCCGTTTTCTCCATTGTAGAGCTGGGTTGTTATGGGACTGAATGAGGTAATTTATCTCATTACTTAGCAACATGCCTGGGGGCATACTAAGTGCTCAGCGTGGTTTTAATAACTCACACTTATCAAGACCTCATTGGACCCTCTCAACAAGCCCTGGACACAAATATTCTTGTCATCCTGACTTTACAGACATGAGAGGCACAGAGAAGGTAGGAGACCTGCCCGAGGTCACACAGGAATTGTGAGTGGCAGCGCTGATAGCCCGCCCAGGTTGCCCAGCTCCAGAGTCTGTGATCTTGCCCACTATTCACGCTGCCTGTCTCTGGTAGTTTACAAAATAGGC